ATGGATGAGTAAACGGAGGCCCAGTGGAGCAGCTGACATGTGTTGTAGAGCCAGCCTGGCTGCCAGCACCTAGACCATGGTCCCCTGGGGTCTGTCCATGCCCAGTGTAGGAGGGCAGAGGGAACGGCAGGCCCAGGCTGAGGAAAAGACCCTGTTTTCTTCCCCTCCCTCTTTCAGGTCCATGATCTGAATCCAAAGGAGATCAGAAAGAATATGAATTCCACAGGGCTGCAAAGAACGGTTTCATTTGAAGAGATTTCTTTCTCTTCTGAAGCAGCTGCAGGGTTTCTTCTTTCCTCCTAGTTGTAGCATGGGTATTGGACAAGCCTGTTAGATGCCACTCAGCAGGGAGGGGGCTTCTCGAGGGATTCCAAGAGCTGAAGAGGCGATGGAAAGGCTTCTCCCTGGTGTTGCAAAAGATGGGAGGTGCTGACAGTAGAAGGAGAGAGGGAAACTCTGGAAAGAAATCCAGCAGCCCAGACAGTTTTCTAAGCCCCTTCTCTTTTCCCAGTCTGTTGGAGCTTAGGGTATTACATCCCACCCTTGCCAGGAGGCTAGAGCCGAAGCTGCAGCCCTTCACCCACCAGTGCTATCTCCCAGAGGGACTTTCATAGCTGGAGTTCCCTAGTAGTAACTTTACTAATAATACGTGAAGTCTTATATGTGTGGGGTCTGGCAATTTTCAAAATACTAACTATCCATTCTCTCATCTCTTAAAATGGGGAAATACTATCTACTTTGCATAGTTCTCAGGGTTGTTATAAGTGTCAAATCACAGTGTATGTGAAATTATTTGGGGAACTATAAAACCTTAGATGCTATCATTATCATCGGCAGCAATGGCGCCTTTCTTCTAAAGGCACGCGAGTACTTGACATGTGGCAGCAAATCATGTTTTCAAGCTTCCTGATGTATGGAACAAATATAGAGAAGCATGCTTTTCTCCACTGCGTGGGAAGTGATCACCTCAGATGTCAGCACCACGGGGTGCTGGGAGAGGAGCTGGCCCCATCCATAATTCCCATCAGCCAGCTCCCTAATAAATATGTCTCCAAGCCAGAACAGGGAGCTTACCAAGCAAAAACAGCCACACAACAAGCCTCCAGTCCCCTGCCCCAAACTCCATCTACCATCCACATTTTATTTTTTTCATCCCTAAGTCCCTCCCACATCGAAATTCTAGAACTGCCCAGATATATGCTCGAGTTCACGTGGTAAGAAAGCCAAAGTAGCACTCTGCCACTCAGCCTTCCAAGGATGTTGTCGTGGTGGTCAGTATGTCATTTCCCCAACACATCTGCTGGGGCAGAAACCAGTTTCCCCAGTATGGTTCAGCGGTGGTTCTCTGTGTGCAAGATCACCAGTGCTTGTCTAAATTGTGATTTAGGTAACCATAGGTAACCTAAATGATTTAGGTAACCATAGGCTCTATCTTGCCTCTTTGTTTTGTTACTTTGCCCCATTCCATTTCTTTTCTCAGTGAGTCCATGGATAGACTTGTTAACAGGGAGTGATATTGAAAGTATTCCAAACCACTGCAGTGCTGACACTGGCTTACTGAATGGGAAGTTGGTGTTGACCCAGGGGCAGGAAGCCTCCACTGAGTTAGCCATTAATCCTGTAGTGGATGAACTGGGGGAGTATGGGAGTTGCCAGGAAGGAGCTGGTGGGCCAGGGTGCTGGAACAGGGAGGGGCAGGATGGGGCTCGGGGCAGCCAACTACCCATCTTGCTGTGACATATGACAGCCACCCAACTCCATCACCTACTCACACCGGGGCTCCACATTTCCCCTGCCTCCGTTACATTTGTTTTGTGACAGTCTAGATGTGTTTCTATGTTTTCCCCTCAATTCAATGTTGTATTTCCCCTGAGATCAGGAATTTTGTTGTTGTTGTTGATGTCCTTGACCACCTCCCTCCTTCCAGGCACAGGGCTGAGCCCAGTGACATCGCATTATTGCTGTGGCCCGCCTTATTGCAGGGCTGAGATTTCAGATACCCTTCTCATCTCCCTTCCCTCACCTGTGGCTCCCTTTGGTTTTCCATCCTTGTGTCACACTGACCGTGACTCAGTGGCAAACTAAGACCTCAACTGTGGGTCTGAGACAAGTGTCTTGGTCTTCCTAGACCTCAATTTCTCCATGTGTAGAATAGGGAAAATGGTGCTGACAAAGCAATTATCAAATGGGAGGACACTTATAAATATAGCTCGAGTTGCTAATGCAATTCAAACCAGCCTTTGGGCTTCCCTTCTGTAGAATAAGGCCCTAGGCGACTGAGGCGTTTTACACTTTGAGATCCATATGAAAGAATCCCAGGGTTGGATAGAACTTTAGGGGTCTTCAGTTCAATGTTTTTTGGTGTTTTTTTGAAATAGAGTCTTGCTCTGTTGCCCAAGCTGGAGTGCAGCAGCATGATCTCGACTCACTGCAGCGTCTACCCACTGGATTCAAGTGACTCTTGCGCCTCAGCCTCCTGAGTAGCTGGGATTACAGGCATGCGCCACCATGCCCTGCGAATTTTTGTATTTTTAGTAGAGATGGGGTTTCACCATGTTGGCCAGGCTGGTCTCAAACTCCTGACCTCAAGGGATCTGCCTGCCCCGGCTTCACAAAGTGCTGGGATTACAGGTGTGAGCCACCACGGCTGGCCTAGCTCAATGTTTAACAAACTTTACTCAGCAAAACATGTTTCATGAGATGTTCATGAGAGGGTCTGTGGTGTGTGTGGATGTGAGTGTGTAGTTTTTAGTGATCAAATGAATTTGGGAAATGCTTTATACTTTTCCCTCTTGATGAGTTATAATGTGTATATTTTAATATTAAAGGCTCTGACAAGTCCTGTAGCAAAGATTTCTGTTTAACTAAGTGTGTCAACTTGAGTCCTCTGGGAAGCAAATAACAAAGCAAAGTTAGACAAGCAAGAGACTTTTTGGGGTAAGTCCTGTGTAACTAGAGGGGAGAGAGAACAGGAGGAGTCCGGAAAAGCCTTCAGACCGTAACATAAGCCTTACACCTATGAAAAGAGAGGGGGAAGGAAAGGCAGTGTGGTAGGAGGATCCATAGACGGCAGTGCCACTCTGAGAAAGCCTTGGCCAACCCAGTGGGGATTCTGGAGCAAAGGTGGGCCAATAAAAGTCTGCATTGCACAGAAATGACCAGCCCAGTAGCTCTACTGTGGTGTCATTGGCTGCAGCAGCCTGGAGAGAACACGTTCTTATCTCAGGTGCTTTGCACATGGCCAGGCACAGCACATTGGGAGGCAGAATTGAGAGGACTACTTGAGCTCAGGAGTTTAAGACCAGCCTGGGCAACATAGGGAGACCTCCATCTAAACAAACAAAAAAAAAAATCAAATGCTTTGCACATATTTACTCATTTAATCCTCAGAATAACCCTATGAGATAGGTCTTGTCATTGTTTCCATGTTTACAGATGAGAAAACTGAGGCACCAAGATATTCAATGACTCACCCACAGTTATACAGTCAGTGGGTAATGGAGTCGGCATTTGAATACAAAACTGCTTTTGGGAATCTCTGTCCTAGATGGGGCAATGTGGTTTCCAAACGGGGGAGAACATGAACATTCTGAGCCTTACTTGTCAGCACACTTCCAAGTGCAATGGCCACAGTCTCCGATGACTTCCTTGATTTGAAATCCAGGGAAACCTTCTCAGTTCTTACCCTCTGTGTCCAGCAGCTGCCACTGCCACAGTTGCCATTCCCTTACTTTCTTCCCTCTGCTTCCATGGACACCTCCCTCTCCTGGTTTTTCTTCCACCTTCCTGGCTGTTCTTTCTCAATCTCCTTCACCAGCTCCTTCCTCTCCTTCCTCCACTTGTAACTTTGTGGATTTTTTTTTCCTCAAAACCTACCTAGGTCAACAACCCCTATGCTTCTCATTTCCAGTCACAGGGGCCACTTGGAAATGTAGCAGTGCTTGGGGGAATATCACCAGGACACTTCCACTGGCCGAGGCTGCGTCTCCCTCTGGGAGGTGGGTTATGTCCTATCCTCCTCGTTTTGTTCTCTTCTTGATATATATATATATACGAGGAGACTTTTCTATGGACTTAGAGATAGTAATTTTTTAGCATATTAATTTCGGCTTTCACGGACAGCTAGTGGAAGTTTGATGGTGCCCAAGCCATTTTCCATATAATTTAGTATTATTTTCCTTCCTTTATTTCTTCCTGTCTTTTCCTTTCTTTTCCTTTCCTCTTTTCCTTCCCTCCTTCCTCCCTCCGTCCCTCCCTCCCTCCTTCCTTTCTTTCTTTTCTTTTCTTTTCTTTCATTTTTTTTTGAGACAGGGTCTCACTCTCTCACCCAGGCTGGAGTGCAGTGGTGCGATCTCAGTTTACCGCAACCTCCACCTCCCAGGCTCAGGCAATTCTCCTGCCTTAGCCTCCCCTGTAGCTGGGATTACAGGCATGCACCATTACAGCCCAGCTAATTTTTGTATTTTTAGTAGAGACAGGGTTTTACCATGTTGACCAGGCTGGTCTTGAACTCCTGACCTCAAATGATCCACCCACCTTGGCCTCCCAAAGTGCTGGGATTACAGGTGTGAGCCACCATGCCCGCCCGAACGCCCGCCCTCCCTCCCTCCCTCCCTCCCTCCCTTCCTTCTTTCCTTCCTTCCTTCCTTCCTTCCTCCCTCCCTTCATTCCCTTCTCTCTTTTTTTTTTTTTTTTTTTTTGAGACAGTCTGTTGCCCAGAATGGAGTGCAGTGACATTATCTCAGCTCACTGCAACCTCCACCTCCCACATTCAAGTGATTCTCCTGTCTCAACCTCCTGAGTAGCTGGGATTACAGGTGTGCACCACTACACCTGGCTAATTTTTGTATTTTTAGTACTGACTCACCATGTTGGCCAGGCTGGTCTTCAACTGACCTCAGGTGATCCTCCTGCCTCAGCCTCCCAAAGTGTTGGGATTATAGGTGTGAACCACCGCACCTGGCCTTCTTTCTCTCTTTAAAAATATTTTTTTCTTTGCTTTTTTTTTTGTATTCTCCACATAGTTGAACATCCTAGAAATTCGTTCCTTTGCATTAGTCTCTGAGGATGGGCCCGTTAGCTACAGAGCCATCAGAGTCTGAATGTCTGGCACCTGAGCTCCTCGTTGGCCCACAGAAAGGCTCTGCCCACCAGCTCCCCAGAGAGAATATGGAAATGCTGCTTGGGACCAAATAAGGGAATATAATGAAAGGGGCCTCAGGGCTGAGTCTGTGTCTGAGTCACATTTTAGCAAAGTGGCCACATAGCTTCTGACTCAGAGCACAAAGATTCTTCAATTCTTCATGGCAAGAATGAGACTCACAAGAGCATAGGCTCAGAAGTGGAAAGGAGGGTAGAGCTGTCTCCTCCTGTCTAGTCTAACCAAGGCAGCTAAGAAGCTGAGGCCAGAGAAGGGAGGGTCCCGCAGCCCTAGGGAGGGCCGGAGCCAGCTGGGGCTTCCAGACTCCCGGGAGAGGTGTCATCCTGCCACCAACTCTGCAGGCTCTGCTCAGTCTGCTTGGATGTTGGGTGTGTCGGGAGGCCCTGTCACCCTGCCCCGACCCGGCTATGCTGGGGAGACCTCAGCTTCCTGACTCATACTCAGAAGGGAGTGTCTTAGAGGAATTTCTTTCCACCCAAGCAGTCTATGGACTGATCAAAAGTGCAAGTCATGTCAAGACGTAAGTGTTCTCTAACATGTATTCTGTGATGTGGACTTGAATATAAACTGAAAAGCACAATAGTGAATAATTAGAGCTGTCATCTTAGCACTTTTTATGTAACTTCTGTGAGAGTGTGTATCACCTGGTGTTACAAATATTTACGTGTCCAATTCCCGGCTAGCCAGTCCATTTCTGAAACAGAGACACCATGTCTTTCTTGTTCACTTTTGTGATCCTGGCATAGTGCCTGGCACCTGGTGGGTGCTTAGTAAAGGTTTGTTGAACGAAGGGTCATAGGCACAAACTGTTCCCAGGCAAAACCTGTTGGCATCTTTGATGTTGGAATCATTGATTTAGGGTGAGGGAAACACTCCTTGGGCCCTATGTCCTGCTAAAGGGTTCGCTCAATTGAGAGCTTCGAGGAGCCCAGATTTACTATCCACTAGGATTGCTTCAAATGTCTGAGTTTAGGGTGGGGTGGAGTGAACCCTCCTTTACAAGAGAACCAGAAGATTTCTCCCCCAGGGTTTAATGCTTGAATTCCTCTAGGAGAAAGATAAGAATGTTGCTGGACAAAGCTGCACAAGCATTTCTTGTAGCTCCCTCCTCCCCCACTCTTTCTCTGAGGTTGACTGGTCTATCCGTAAGTTGTGGGGGCTGGTGCTGGTGTGGAGGGGGGATGAAGGGCCAAGGACATCTCTATGGGGTCTACTTGGGACCAGACTGGCTGTCAACACACAGGCCAGCCTCTCCACTTCATTGCCACTCCTGGGGGCATTTCGGTGGACTACAAAGTGCTAGAAACCACGGAGTCTCTGACATCCCCTTGGCCCCCTGAGCATTCTGTGTGTGGGGGTGGGGGTGGTTGGGTGTGTTCTGGGAGTGGGGTCCTAGGGGAGGGTGGTGGTGGTAATGTGAGGTTGGTGTCAAAAAAAAAAAAAAAAAAAATATTCCATGGCACTTGTTAAGGTATGATTAGGAAGGTTTTATTCAGGACCATTGCAATAGGAATAGGGGCCACTGCAGTGGGGTTTTGCAGGGGTGGATAGAGATTGGGCTCAACTCTGAATACGGCATGGCCAGGTGGGAATGCATAGCCAAGGATAAGAGTGGGGGTCAGCGACGGATAATTACTAAGAGGAAACATAAAGAATAAGGGGGATTCTGGCTAAACCCACCTAACCGATTCCTGCTGAAGACAGGACAGGGTCATTGGACGTCACCTAGATGGTGGAGGATGAGGAGCACAATTAGATATTGGGGATGATCAGATAGCAAGGCATGGAGGGGCTCTGGCTAAACTGACTTAGCAGGGTCCTCTTAAAACTGAATTTTTCAAGAAAGTGCACAGATGGGCCTAGGAAAGGATTAGGAGGCTCACTAAAGTTTGGTCAAGCAAAGAATCTTTGTCAAGGGCCAGAGGAGGCCAGAAGTGAGGCCAAGAGGTGAGGAGGGACTAGCTACTATAGGACCTTGTAAGGGGAATGGAGGGGTTGGAATTGGAGGGCAAAAGAGGTGAGTGTGGTGGTCAGGCTGGTGGGGAAGGAGTAGGGATCTGGGCAGCTCTGGTGGAGAGGCTCCTGAGCCCTACCACAGGTGTTCAGGGGCCATGAGAGCGTCTTCCTGAAAGCAAGACTGCAGCCCCTTGATCCTGCTGGCCTACCCTTCAGAAGCAGGCCCTGACAGAGAAGAACTTGGATTTTTATTTTTTTTAAGCGACAAGACCTTGCTGTCACCAGGCTGGAGTACAGTGGCATGATCATAGCTCACTGCAGCCTGCGTTTCCTGGGCTCAAGTGATCCTCCCACCTCAGCCTCCTGAGTAGTTAGGACTACAGGCATGTACTACCATGCCAAACTAATTTGTGTGTTTATATGTGTTTGTAGAGATGGGGGTCTTGCTATATTGCCCAGGCTGATCTTGAACTCCTGGCCTTAAGTAATCCTTCTGCCTCAGCCTCCCAAGTGTGAGCTTGAGTTTATGAAGATACAATAATTTGGGGATTTCTCCCAGTCTATTTCCACCCACAATTTTTATTTTCATTTTCATTTTTTATGTTTTTTGAGGAGTCTCACTGTGTCACCCAGGCTGAAGTGCAGTGGTGTGATCTCAGCTCACTGCAAACTCTGCCTCCTGGATTCAAGCAATTCTCCTGTCTCAGCCTCCCGAGTAGCTAGGACCACAGATGCTCGCCATCATGCCCGGCTAACTTTGTATTTTTAGTAGAGACGGGGTTTCACCATAATGGTCATGCTGGTCTCGAACTCTTGACCTTTGGTGATCCACCTGGCTCGGCCTCCCAAAGTGTTGGGATTACAGGCGTCAGCCGCCGCGCCCGGCCCCCACTCACAATTAAACACAGCCTGCACACGTATTTCTGCACCAACAGGCTGACAGGCTCTCATTGGAGAGAAAATAACCCACTCCCTCCTTTTGTGGAATTGGAATGATTTGTGTGTCTTGGAAAGTTTTCCTGAACAACGAGATTCCCTGAACAACAAAAATAAGCTTATAGTAGTAACGTTACTAGACCACAATCATGCTTTCCGCTGTGAGCAAGAAGCTGATGACGGTAAAATGGAGCCGCCGAGGGCCTCTTTGATGTTGCATTAGCTCCCCCACGTGGCAAAATGCAGTATTGTTATTTCAAAGCAAGAAAATCCCTTATTTAGCCGTGGAAAAGGAAACCACTATCTCAAAAGGCCTTTGATGCTTTTCAGCATCTTGCTTTGGATCTCAGGCAGTCATGACTACAGATCCCAAAGCCCTCTGGAGTCTGATACTGAGCGCCTCATGAACTGATCCATCTGTTTATGTCTGTCTTTCTATCATCATTTGTGACCACATACGTGCCAGGCATAATGCTGGGTACTGACGCTTCAACCGTGAACAGGACACTGTACTGTCCTTACAGAGGACATAGACAGTGGGCAACAGGCCATTGCAATTCACTGTGGTAAGTGCTATGGAGACAAATTACTGAGGATCCTCACCCAGATTTGGGGAGTCTTGGGTTATTTCACTTAGCATAATATCTTCATAATATACTCAAGTTTCATCTACATTGTAGCATGTGACAGGATTTCCTTCCTTCCTTCCTCTTTTTTTTTTTTTTTTTTTTTGAGATGGAGTTTCACTTTTGTTGCCTAGGCTGGAGTGCAATGGTGCAATCTCAGCTCACCGCAACCTCCGCCTCCCGGGTTCAAGCAATTCTCCTGCCTCAGCCTCCTGAGTAGCTGGGATTACAGGCACACACCACCACACCTGGATAATTTTGTATTTTTAGTAGAGACCGGGTTTCTCCATGTTGGTCAGGCTGGCCTCGAACTCCCAACCTCAGGCGATTCACCCACCTCAGCCTCTGAAAGTCCTGGGATTACAGGCGTGAGGCACTGTGCCCGACCGATTTCCTACTTTTCTAAGGTGGAATGATATTCTATTGTCTTAGATATACCACATACACTGAGAAAGTCTTTTTATATTTAATTTATTTTTTAATTTTTGAGATAGAGTCTCACTCTGTCACTCAGACTGGAGTGCACTGGCGTGATCTTGGCTCACTGCAACCTCTGCTTCTTAGGTTCAAGTGATTCTCCTGCCTCAGCCTCCCTAGTAGCTGGGATTACAGGTGCGTGCAAACATGGCCGACTTTTTTTTTTTTGTATTTTTAGTCAAAATGGAGTTTCGCTATGTTGGCCAGGGTGGTCTCAAACTCCTGACCTCAAGTGATCCACCTGCCTCGGCCTCCCAAGTGCTGGGATTACAGGCATGAGCCACGCCACCACGCATGGCCAGGAAGTCTTTTTTTGAGACAGGGTCTCTCTCTGTCACCCAAGCTGGAGTGCAGTGGTGTGATCATGGCTCACTGTGGCCTTGACCTCCTGGGCTCAAAAGATCCTCCCACCTCAGCCTCCTGAGTAGCTGGGGCTACAGGTGTGCACCACCACACCTAGCTAGTTTTTGTATTTTTCATAGAAAAGGGGTTTCACCATGTTGCCCAGGTTGGTCTTGAACTCTTGAGCTCAAGTGATCCACCTGCCTTGGCCTCTCAAAGGGCTGGGATTACAGGTGTAAGCCACCGTGCCCGGCCCTAAGGGAGGAAGGCATCAACTGGGGCCTGGGAACTGAGTTAAATTCGTGTAAGGATGGATGGATAGATGGAGAGAGGATAGGAAGGGGAGAGGGCTCCAAAATGACTGAGTAATGGGCTGGGAACTGAGAGAAGTTTCGGTGGCTATAGTGTGGACTGTCAGACGAGGACGGTGATGGGAGATGAGGCCAGAGAAGAGAGCAGGTGCTGGGACACACAGGGCTTGTGAGTTCCGCGAAGGAGTTTGCCCAGTGTCCAGCAGGAGGCAGTAATGGTGGTCTCCCCATCTTGTTCTTACGGGCTGATTTAGGCTGTGGTTCTCGCTGCGTGGCTTCTCTGTGTCTGTTTCCTCAGCCAGATCTTTTCTGAGTGGACAGCACTTCGGGAAGACCTACGTGGGATGGTTGGATCCTGGAGGGGCCTACAAGTGGCCATCGATTCAGTCGGGACACTGTATTTGCTCTGGAACGTGCGGGACTGGCTCACATTAGCTCCTGAGAGGAGGGAGAAAATGTGCGCAGGACAAGTTGGAGATGTTGTCTTTCAGTTTGCAGTTGGTTGGATCATGTCAGCCCATCAGGATATTAGCCAGGATGGAAACGAGCCTGACAGAGCATTTGAGGATGGGGATTTGCCACTTGGGGAATTAAAGACAACAATGACAAAATGAGCTTATCAGAGGACCCAGTAGGATTCTCATTCCTATGGCTGGGTACTGTTGGCAGGAGGGCAACTTCCTGGGCACTCGAAGGCAGGAGGAACTTGACTCTTTGCTGGGGAGAACATGGCTAACATCCTGTATTGTACAGCTGTGGCCATGCTGTTAAATTCTTGTGTCTTCCAGTTATGTTTAGAGGAATTATATCTTTTTACTGTGTCTGTTGGTATTTTCACATCAATCACGGCCCGTCTTGTAACAATAAAAAAA